AACCGAGGCCCATGGGGCAAGTACGGAGGAGCAACAGCACTAGAGGAGGGCGGGGAACAGGTGAGCCGGCACTGGTCTGGCACACGGGTGAGTCCCGGGTGTGAGGACGCGCCTGTTCTCTACATCTGTGTCAGGAAGCCGGGCAGGCACAGGGCAGGGGCAGGCGGACGCCAGGCAGAACGAAGGGATGGGCACCAGGCTCCCAATTCCCTGCCTGCAGTAGGGCACCTCTGAGGCCGCCACTCCGCTAATAAGCAGAACACTACTTTCACCTGCAACATCTGCAGAAGAGGGCTCTTACCTGGCGTTAACTGGGGTGCTCGGGTGGAAGAATTCACGGGTCACTTGTGCTGCATACCACGAAACAGCTGTTAATGTGCACAGACCTGGGAAGAGGCAATGAAAACTAAAACACACAGCAAATCACCGACTTCCTGAGGTCTCAGGGCAGCCTTCCCGTTACCCACTTTGCATTATAATATAAGCACCAGCTTTAGAAGGTAATTAGGGCCTTTCATGATTTATTTTGCATAGCCTCTTTGGCTCACAGGTCCCAGAAGAGACAGGAATTGGAGTCTGGGGCTCCTCTACCCACGTGGGCCAACACTGTCTGTTTCCATTCAGACCTGTGGCTCTTCTGGTGAAGGTCTGAGGCACGCTAGTCCTTCCTCACATAATGGGAGACTGAGGTGCACTTCATCACAAATAGCTACGACTGTCATAAGGTTGCTTAGAAATATCATACAGCTCTAAGGGGACAGCTGGACAGACAGGAGAGACAGGCCCTTACGACGGCAAGGCTAAACGTGCTTTAAATTTACACGTGTGAATGATTTCAGTGAAGTCAAATGGGTTGTTCGTTGGTCATGCTAGTATAGTTCACAGCAGAGTTTGGATGCTGTCTTTAACAGTCCAGATCCCATTGAAAGATGGATAAAACTAAGTGCCAAACTACAGAGTGAATTATTTTTGTGAAGCAAAACCTCTCTAACCAAAGAGGGTCCCAGACCGGAAAAGGGTGGTTTGCCCCATGCGTTGTTCAGGACAGCATTATAACCCGGGGGAATCAGCAGTTTTCCCCCCTGCCTTAGAGCAAGGGGAATTCATGGGCATGCAGTAAGCAAGCAGACGTCTTCCCTTACAAGGTAGCGCAGACTGCAACCAGCTTTGGTCGTGGCAACATTTTTGGGCACTTGGAGCGTGGCAAGGGGCCAGGACATCTATTTGCTAGTCTAACATGATGGAAGCACGAGAGATCCCCATGTTGGCACAAAGAGCTTCTAGGGGGTCTCCGCACCGGAAGTAAAACATCCAGGCAATGCAAGGACAGGCCAAGGAAACAGCAAGGCCAAAATCACAGCGGCAAAGGTAAAAAATGAGCTGGTGAGG